TCGGAGCAGTACTGTAGGGCGTTTACCTCAGCATGAAGGCCGAGTTCCGCAGTCAGTGCATTGTCCCTATCTTTAGCAGCCCTTGACTCCTTAAATCGACGACCTTTTATTTCTTCTAACTCCCCCTCAGGTGTATTAGGAAGGAAACCGTTCCATCCAACTGCTAACACTGCAGGAGGACCACGATTTCTTGAGCGACGAATTACGCAGCCAACACTAGGCTTTCCATTTGCATGCTCCGTTACTTCAGCACGACTGGCTGCCATCAAGGCCATTTTCATCCACATGACATCAGTGTTGTCAGGAAATTCGTCGTAGCCGTTACTTGCCGCTTCAGTCATTTCCTCAGTTATAACCAATGACTTAACATAAAAAAAATAACATCATCGATTTTTGTCAATCTTTAATATCTGTGGACAAGATGTCCCATCCCTTGTGAGATCATTTTATAAAAGAAGTCCGTGTGAAATCACACAGATCATCTCTTTGTTTCTCTTTGAAATATATTACAGTTGACTCCCGATAATTCAAACCCTCGTAAACCCGAACCTCGCGCTAACTCAAGCCAAAGTCGATTTCCCCTGTGGATTTCCTTCAGTGGCGGATTTAGGAGGAAAGTGCAGGGGATGCACACCCCTTCCCCCTCCCCTCTGAGATGACCTGCGGCTTTCTTTCTTTGTGATAAAGGAATACTAAAGCCAAAATTTATTTCTTCTAACCAATAACCAATGACTTAACATAAAAAAAATAACATCATCGGTTGTCTCTGGGTTTTCAATTTTTTTAACTAACTCAGTGATAAATCAGAATTGTTAGTCCAATGAAGTCTAATGTAAAGGAAGAACATGCATGAGCCATGCGTGAACTCCCGCATGAACCTGAGTTAGAAAATGAATTTTGAGTGGTTGTTAAAAACAATTTCATGTTTGTGGTGTAGCTATTTGAATTCGCACTATAGGTAAAATTTCATTTTAAGCCGTGTTTAGTACTACAGTAGGTAGTAAGTACCACAGGCAACGCAGGCTCACTATTTGTGTCACGTACGAGTTTCATATAACATGAGTAAGTATAGAGAAGATATGGAGCGAAGTTTAGGTCTGGAAATTTGCTAGAAAATGGAAATAAAAATCGATGAACCTCACCATGTGGCGAGTAGTTGTTTTCTTCAGTATGCACACGAAGTTTCGCAAAAAATAGTCTCCAGGAGACTATTTTTCCCGAATCTTCGTGTGCATTAAGGGCAACAACAACTCGCTACGTGGTAAGTCTCACCGATTTTTATTTCCATTTTCTAGCAAATTTCCAGACCTAAACTTCGCTCCATATGTTCTCTATACTTACTCATGTTATATGAAACTCGAACGTGACACAAATAGTGAGCCTGGGTAACCTTTGGTAAGTACTAATCAATGACTTCATGATATCTTAAGTATCTTTCTCGATGATAGCCTACGTATAGCTGTACCCTACCCCCGACAAAGGAAAAACGGAGAGAGGAGGGAAGATGCAGCTACACGTAGGCTATCTCGAGGAGAGGAAACTAGACGTGTGGTTATTTTTGCAGGTTCCTATGTGTCAGTTTTTAATAACATATGCTAATAATTAGTGCTGTCAATATACATTTACAGAAATAGTTGGTAAAAATTTGTATTTGTCAACACCTCGTTTTCTCAGAAAGCGGTGTAAAAATAGCACAAAAGAAGCGAAGAAGGATTTATTAGTGAAAACCGGGAAACCACACAAAAAAAAAAAAGAAAAAAAACTGGGGAACTAGTGACGACGGATGAACCGAATTGATAGTGAGTTAAAGAAATAACATACGTTAAATATCTTATCAACCTCAAGAGTTAAAAATATACTTTAGCAAATAACTATTGGTAACTAACCAAAAATATGAACCGCTGCCAGCTTGTTCTTCGGCGAAAAAAATTCAAGTTTGATTTCCGCGTTACGAACAAGTAATATTAAGTGACGCAGAAACTAAACAAGCCTGCTTTAGATTCAGTCAAAAATGAATTGTAAAAATAAAATAAACACTTTTCATTAGCTATACCAAGACTACCTAGACATAACACACATAATTTATGCACGCACCTGTGCAAGACAAAGGAATCGAATATTCAACGGAACCGATTTATGTTGATGTGCAGGGGTGTGATTACTACCACACATATAGATATAATTTTTTCCTCTAATGACTTATAAAACAGTCGCATATATTATATATATTCAAATAATGATTTCTCATCAAACCTTCCCTTTTTTTATGTTTTGATCTGAGAAAAAACAACTGTACCGTATCTAAAATTCTCT